ACAATCACTTTTGTATCCTTAGTATTACACTATTAAAAAGGATTATTAATAGGAAAGCAAATGGTTTGATTTGTAATTAATAACTTCTCTCTCCGTTTTATAATGTTACTCTCATATGGAATCAATCACATACAATAAGAAAAGAAGAATATTTGGAATCTAACATTAAAGTACAAAATAATTCATAATTAGTTTACCTTATTTAGGTTTTTAAATTTTTTTTTTTTTTTTTTTGAGAAAGCATAAGTCATAATGCATAATTGAAGGTAGAGATTTCCTTACTTAGAGTCATGTCATCAATCCACAATCAATTAACACCCAAAATAATATATGGGAGTAACATTATGAAACGGAGGGAATATATACTAAAGTGAAATAAGGGATGACAAATGTCATCTTTTAGTTAAAAAATTTCTTGTCATTTTGAGTATTAACTTTTTCTTTTAATTTTAATTAATTTTATTTTTGGTCAAACCTTAGTGAAAAGTATTTATAACCTACTATAATATTTTCCTTCCACTTTGAAAATTCTTTTTTTATTTTTTTTTATTTTTTTTCATTTACACTCAAATGAAATATATTTACTAGTTATTTTATATTAATTAATTATTTTTTTTTTTACAAAAATGAGCATAAATAAGTTATATATTAGGATAATATTATCATCCAAGATTGCTATAATATTTTTTTATTTTTTTATTTTTTTATTTTTTGAGGAATGCTATAATATTATCATTCTAAGGATTTTCTTTGCTCCTACTTTATTAATTTTGGCAATAAAGATTATTCATTGCACTTTATTATTCCTATGTACTCTTAAAAGATCATAATAATAATACTATGTAATTCCCACCACTTTTAAACTTTATAATAAAAAGCATACTACTCCCTAATTTTACAAAAACTTGGTTCTATATATAGTAAAATAAAAATGAATTAAATTTGCATAAAATATTGTGTCAGTTAAATTGTGTAAGCAAAATAAGGACAGGATGGTCATGTGATGATATTGCACAATTTCTCAATAACAATACTCCTTAAATTTCTTTCATATTTATAAAAACTAGCGTATCAATAACCTTGAGTCCTTGACGTCATTGTCAAAAAAAAGAAAAAAAAAATCTTAATGTTGGTATAGGTTAATATAATATGCAAATTATTTTGTTTAATTTATAAATGTAATTCATTTTAGTATATAATTGTTAAATAATTAACATTGTATTTTGTTATCTTTCAAAAAAAAATATGTATTTTGTTATATAATTTAATAAAAAATTGTTCATTGCACATGACTTAGCAGTTGTACCTCATAGTGAGTTAGGTGTTTAAGTTGTCAAATGTCTCCCTTAATTATGAACCATTCTTTAGTGATTTCATACATTAGCTTAATTTTTGCATGATGAATTGTAGTTGAAGAACCTGTAAAATGGAAAGAAAATTTATACTAAAATAAAAGAAATTAACCATGGTTAGTGAGTTTATACTAAAATAGCTATTACCTTTGGTAATCAATAATTCAAGTTTATAAAAAAGAATAAGATTTTTCGCAATTCACCACGAAGAAAATTAAAAACTATAGTGTTACCAAAGAGAATTTCCCTAATTCCATTTATAGTAAAAATGAGTACTCCACGACGTCTCCACTCACTAACTCTTGCACTCCCTCAAACACCTAATTAAAATGACTTATGCTTATACTGTGTTTTTTGTGTTCTTGATATCACTAAATCTCACTACTATCGTCTTTGTGTTTCTGAAAATCATGAATTTTCTTTGAAATCTTAGCTTGAAACCTTTTATAACACAATGCTATGCCACCAATATCAATCCAATATCTTAAATGCCAAATATACTCTTCCCAAGGAATCTTGTAAACCTAAGCCAACTATCATGACAACAAGATATTTGAAAATGGGGTTAGCCTTGAAATCATTAGTCAACTCTACACCATCCTAGGTGAAAAAAAAAAGTATGAGTCCAAACGCCTTTGAGGACATTGATCTTAGTTTTATCAACCTCACAATATTTCATAGTTATGAGGAAATTAACATCGGGAACAAACTGCCTTTATTTTTTGCAAACCAAGGGCCTCCATCTATTCACAACAAACTGTGAACCCATTTAGAATTTTAGTTTGAATAAAGAGAAATTTTAAACATGATTTGAATAAAGAGAATTTTTGTTATATACATATAAAAGAAAAACCACACATTCATTTTCTTTGTAGAATTTGTTAGATTTATTTCAATATTTAGTTTTAAATATCCATATTTTAGAATTTTTTTATGATGTGTAGCTATTTTACATTGAAAATTGCATAAAAAAACAAATTAAATGAGACAAACAAAAAAAAAATAATAGAGTATTATTATAATATGTAGATTATATACTACCTCCGCTTTTGAAACTTCGACTAACTTACTATTCATGTGGTTAAAATAAAATAACTTAAACCATATTTTATAATTTATATATTATGGAGTACAAATAAATTAGCATGTGGGATCTTATTAGATTCCTCTAATTAGTATAAATATTTATAAATTTTACTTATACATAGCCGAAGATATTCATTGTCAAAGATGTTCATGGAAGACCGCGTAAATGCAAAGTGAGTCGAACTTTCACGAACAGTGGGAGTATATTATAATATATGAAAATATTTTATATATTATAATATCTATAAGACTATAACTATTACTAAGAAAAAACCACTATTAATTTTATGGTTTTTCTTTCATTAAAAAAAAACAGAAGAATTAATAAAGTGTGGAAAACTGGAACCCCAAATTCTCATATCACTATAAAATGTATGAGTATGAGGAAATAAAAAAGTTTGGAAATGAAATAGTCCAACCACCAATTTTTTTTTTTTTTTTTATTTTTACTCAATAAAAAAATTGTGTATTTAGTCAATTAATTCATAAAATCTTTTGGAAAAATGTACAATTAATCTACCACTTTCAAATCTTTCTTTTAAAATTTTTTTTCCTAATAAATGAAAGTTTTTAAAACTAAAAAAAATACTGAAATTATTATTATTGGTTATTGTTTCGGTCAGAAAACAATGGACCTCCAGAAGGTCTTTCGGATGAGTGGAGATGAAGCCCAATTCAAGTGATGATCGAATTGAGGATTTCCTGCACAGTTGAACAAATGTAAACTGGCCTCGGGGGTTGTGCCGAGGAAGGCCCCTCCGATGCCGAAGTCAGTACGAGTGTAAACACAAGAGAGAGAATAGCTATGCAAGAGGATTTGTTGCTTGAGGCAATTTGTGTGAATGTAGAATTGCTAGAGTGAGAGCTTATATACCTTGTTCCAATTGGATGGAATGGCCTTGAGCAATTAAATGGGCTGCCATTTAATTGGGCATTGCTTTACCTGACTTGTCATACTTCTTTGAGGGTTGAACCTTGCCTTTTGGGTTTATTTTAGTTTTATTTATGGACTGAGCCCAAATGAGTTATTTGGACCCCAAATAGTTATCTTTTTTTTTTTTTTTGTTCATGTCAAAGTTAATTAAAGATTGTGATTTTTTTCAATAATTTGTACTCCAAGTAACGCCAATTTTTTTTATAATTATATTTAAAAAATTTCTTTATTTGCAAATAGCTTAAATTTTGAACATTGGCTCGGAGATTATCTAGTAAGTGTAAGTCATTCTTAGCACATAACTCCTATTTGCTTTGGAAATAAATAGAAGGGTAGGGTGGTAATTTCACAAATTTAATGGCTAGTTATGTATTAAAGGTGTTGGTTTTTTTTTTTGTTTTTTTTTTTTTTGCATAGCACTATGAAGGTATAATTAATAACTATATACTACTATGTATTATCTTAGTTTCTCTTTGTTACAATTCCATCCAATTTTATTATTTTTGCAATAATGTTTAATTCATTTGGCTAATTAACATATGTTATATATCTTATTTCTCTATTCTTTAAAGTCGTATCAATAATAACACAGCACATGCGGGATACTATCCTTAGATTTTATTATTTTTTTTAATAAAATCCATCTATTTTTTTAAATGAAGTGTAAGTGTCAATAATCTTGACATTAAAGGTATAAAATTCAAGTTATATTTATTATTGAATTAGTATATATTATGAGTGTAAATTTTTTTATAAAATTCAATAACAATCCTTTATATAATTCAATAACAACCCTTTATAAAATTTAATAATAACTGTATATTGTACGGTACTTAAGCTAGTATAATACTGTAAGAGTATATGTTGTCTCAATGGTAGTATTACATCTCATAATGGTATTTATAATAGTGGAGTATAGTACTTGATATGCCATATGTATATTTAGTTGTATCATTAGAAAATTATATATACCATTACATCATCTAATGGTATACCTTTGAAAGCTTATTGGAAAATATGTTTCCTATTAATAGATTTGATAATGTCATTAAACTGTCTAATTATACTATCACTGAATTATGACATATATATCGAGGTAATTAATTAATTTAAATGTATAAATGTAAAAGCAAAGAAATGAACCACATTAAAGTTGTACTTATTTAGTACGTAACAATAGGGGTGAGCGCGGCTCAGATATCCGATCCGAAATCCACTTTTGGATCGGATATCCACATCCGAAAATTAGGATATATGATATTCGATATCAGATTCAAAAGCTTCAGATATTCGGATTTTTGAAATTTTCGGATCGGATATTTCGGATATCCAGTATTTGATTCTTTTTTTAATAATTTAATATTAATCATTTTATACTAAATTAAGCTCTTAAAGGCAAAATTATTTTTTTTTAAAAGGTAAATTCATATGTATATTTTAGTTATTTTGCTGTTTTAGTCTTTAGAGGCATATTACAACCTGAAAAATTTGAATAATTAAATAACCTGAATAACTTAAGTAATCAAATAACCTGAACAAACCAAAGTGACTGATTGAATAACCTGTGAACAAACTCACAAATTGACTAAAAAAACCTGAAGTCCAACTAATTAAAACATATTACAATATAAAGAAATTTTAGAGAACTTGCATACTAATTGTCACATTACAAAACAAAGAAATGTTTAAAGTCCAAATAAACAAACCACCAAATATTAAAAATACATAAACATTAAATCTAATACTAAGAATTATCATCAACGACGAAACTGCGTATCAAGAAGAGACGCAAGTCGAAAACTCTACAATAAAAAAAAGTAAATTATACAATTAATATAAACAATAAAATACAGAAAATATAACACAATTAAAAAAAATTCAAAACCTATAACATTAAAAAAAATACAAACCAATAAAATAGTATTACCTCTAATTCTGAAAATAATCATGGACGACAAAAACCAAGGGAGGATCAACAAGAGAAGACAACTCTACATTTAAAAAAATAGTTAGTTATATAATAAATACATACAAATAATGCAGAAAATAAAATAGAAAAAAAACAGAAACATTTTGTAAATTCCAGGTTTAATAAATAATAATAGATATTAAAAAAAGTATTACCCTCTTCAATTTGTTGAATATCATCAATACTTTCTTTAATCATTAGTGGACCACGTGTACTACGCATCCAATGTTGTGCACATATCAAAGCTTCAACCATATGTCAAGAAAGAGAACTACGAAACACATCAAGTACTCTCCCACCTGTGCTAAACGCAGATTCGGATGCAACCGTAGAAACGAAATGGCTAATACATCCCTATCCATAAGACCAACAATAGGATATCTCTCCACCCCTTTTTTCCACCATCCCAAAGCATCAAAATTGTTACCCGTGATAGGCTCTCTATCATCCATTAAGTACTTGTCCAACTCACCATTTTTTTTTATTATTTTTTTTTTTATCAAAAACCGTTTGTCCACCAATATCCCTTTCAAGCTCATAATCAGCCACATCATGACAATCATAACAAGTTTCCAAGCCTCTTGAACTCAAATCAATATTTTCAGAAACATTTGGCACATTATGACTTTGTAAAGAAGCATAATGTTCATACAACAAAGTCAAAGTAGTCATGACCATATCGTGCAATTTTGCAGCCTTAACAGAGTCATATTTTTCATTAATAGCCCACTTCATATAATGCATTTTGCGTCTAGGATCAAGCAGAACAGCAACATACAACATCAAGTTAATGTTATCCACATTTTCCCAATATTTTTCATGCTTTTTCTTCATCCCATAGGCCATTAACATCTCACCACTATCAACACTTTCACACTTTTTTTTTTAATCATCTTCCAAATTGTCACAAGTTCAAGCAAATACACATTAGTATATGCACAAATCATCTTCCAAATTAAGAAGGTGGGCTGCACATCGCATATGCACAAATTTACCATCTAAAATAGTCCCATCTTTCCATCTTTGCAACTTCCTCCTCAAACATTGAACCCCTACATGATTTGAACTTGCATTGTCGTCTATGGTAATGGTCATTACCTTGATGATACCCTACTCAAGCAAACACATTTCAATCGATTTACCAATAGCCTCACCTGAATGGCCACTAATTGGACAAAAATTTAATTTTTTTTTTCTGCAAGTTCCAATTATGATCAATAAAATGGGCTGTTAAACACATGTAAGACAAATTTTGACAAGAGGTCCATGTATCGGTAGTGAGACAAATACGAGAAGAACACTTGCTAAAGTAGCTTTTTAGATTTTTTTTCATCCTAACACACGATAACAATCTCTAGCAACTGTGAAACGAGAGGGAATAATGAAATTTGGTTGAACAACAAACATAAAAAGGCGAAAACCCTCACACTCAGAAAACCTAAATGGCAATTTATCCATTATTAACATTTTAGCAAAAGCTTTTCGACCATCCTCCTGCCTAAACTTCCAAAATTCTAATTTCCCTTTCTTTTCACATTTTTTTATTATCACCTATACTATCTACTAAAGTTTGTTGGCTTTGCTCACTAGAAAAAGCAAGAAGCTTTTGTGATTGCTCAATATTAGGGGGATAATCCTTACACCTAGAAAGATGATTTTTCATAATACTTGTACCACTTTTAGAGTCACCACAAACATCAACATGACAATACAAACATTTTGATATTTTATCCCCACCTTTTTTTATCAACTCAAAATGATCCCAAAGCCAAGACTTTTTTCTTACCTTTATTTTCAGCTCCTACATCATCCCTAGTCCCAGTTGAAGGTCTTTTGCTGAAACTGTTGGTGGTGGATTTTGATCTCCAACAGGCTCGGCAGCAGTAGCATTTGAAGCCAAGGGATCCTCACTTGACAGGTTAGTTGGGGCAGCACTTTCAGCAGTAATATCATGATCATCCATTATCTACAACACAACATTAACATTTGACCACTTCAGAATTTAAATACCCACAAATTGTAGAATATTCACCCACGAAAATTAAATAGTAAAGCATACTAATTATAGTGAACAATCAAATATCAACCCACAAAATTGAACACTAACGCCACTAAGTCACTAATTGAACACAAATCAGCCTATAGTAGTAATTGAACACTAAGTTACTAATCAAATATATTGACAGTATGAACACATGCTAATTGAACCAGTAGTTGAACAAAAATCAGCCTATATTTATACTTACCAAAACGAATTGAAATCAACAATTTATACTTTAAAAAAACCAAATTGAAATCAACAATAGAAGGCGAAAATGAAATTTTGCCTTTATTTAACAAATTGAAATCAAAATCAAAATAAAAATCAACATCAAATGACTTAAGGGAGCGAAAAGAGGAGAAAATGAACAAGGGAGCAAAAAGAGGAAGAAACTTACTGAAGAGGAAGAAGCCACGAGGAAGAGAGAGGAAGAACCCAAGAAATGGAGAAGCCGCCGTCATCGCAGTCGATTTGGGAGTGAGATGACTGAGATTTGAGAGGAGCGCACTCAATTTGGGAGTGAGATGACTGAGATATGAGAGCCTTGAGACTTTGAGAGGAGAGAGGAGAGAGAGAGAGAGGCGTGAGTGGTGGGAAATGGGTTTCTTTTTAGGGAATAAGGGTTTCAGTCTCCAATCCTTTTTTTTTTTTTTTTTTTTTTTTTTTGAGAAGGCTGAAACATAGAGAATATTCGAGAAATACTAATGGAAAAACAAGTGATTTTTCGGATATCGGATATCCGAAATCCAAAATTTGGATATATCCGAAAAATCCGCTGAATTGCTAAACATCGCCCGCGAATCTCCACATAAAGCCCACAAAATTAGAGTGAAATGTCACTTTTGCCCTCAAAGTAAAAAACACAATTTCTTCTCTCTATTCTCTACTTCCACTTTCTCTCTCTAAAAAACTTTCCGAGCGATGTCGAGGCGGCCCGGCAAGGAAGTGGCGGCACAGGCGGCGGGTGGACAGCGGTTTTCCGGCGAGAAGGTATTTTTTATTAATTTTGTGTTTAAAAATTAAAAAAAAAAGGTCGGAGGCGGTGGCGGCGCCTAGGCCAGACGCCACCACCACGGCGGAGGCGCCTAGGCCAGACGCCACCACCACGGAGGCGGCGCCTAGGCCAGACGCCGTGACGGTGGCGATGGCGTCTGGCCCAGGCGCCAGAACCACGGCACCGGCGTCTGGCCTAGGCGCCGCCGCCGTGGTGGTGGCGTCTGGGCTAGACGCCGCCGCCACCGTTACGGCGTCTGGCCTAGGCGCCGCCGCCTTTTTATTTTTTTTTTTTTTTTTTTTTTGGTTTTAAATTTGAAATTTAATTTTCGAAAATAATTAATTTTTTTTTGATTTTTTTTTAAATTTGTTTTTCTTTTTTTTAATTTTAAATTTTATGTTCCTCTTTTTTTTTTTTTAATTTTTAATTTTATGTTCTTGTTTATTGTTTTTGTTTTTTTTTTTTTTTGAATTAGTTTTTTTACTGAAAAAAAATTTTATGTTCCCTTTTTTTTTTTATAAATTTTTTTTAAAATTTTGATGTTCTTCTTTTTTTAAGTTTTTATAATTTTATATTTTTCACTTTGTTTTTTCCAATTTGTTTTTTTTGGGTAATTTTTTTTTTTTCTTTGTTTTTTCCAATTTTTTATTTATTTATTTATTAGGTTATTAATTTTTTTATTTTTAGGTTGTTAATATTTTGTAATGTTTTTAATTTATTTTCCATCATATGTATATTGTTTTATTTATTTATTTTAATTACTTTTTTTATGTTTATATTACATGTTTATATTGCATATTACATGTTTTGTTATTTTGTGTTAGGCATCGTATTTTCGTTCTGGGGCTGGGAAGAGTATGGACATTATGAGAAGTACGATGAACTCAATGGAGAGCTCGGGGCCCAGACACGTTAGATCCCGTGGTATTTCGGCCTCGGCTCGTAGAGAACGGGTGCACTATTCTGAGGATGATGAAGATGATGATGGTGATGAGGAGGAGGAGGAGGAGGATGCAGATGAGGATGTGGACGATCAGAGTGGACCATATGATGATTACGGTCCATTCAGTCAGAGGCTTGATGATGTGTATGAGACGCGTAGGGTAGACGTGCGTAAGGGTAGAGATGGTAGATTTGTTAGTAGATCTGGCACATCATCTGCGTCCACTGTGTCTGCGGTTAGCAGAAAACGGTCGAGGGCCGTTAATGATTCTTGGGTGGTGAGGGGCGAGGTGGCTGGGGGACCTATAGACGGGAGTGTGATTCCTAGCTTTCTAGGACACATCGCTACCCGTATTTGGGAGGACCAAGAGCGGGCTTTGGATAGCGGCATTTTGAAATGCCAAACCCGGGAGAGGACTTGTAACTTCTTGTGTAGTTGGGCTGAGGCTTGGCCGGAGGAGAGCGAGATGGTCGGCCGATTGAGGGCCACTAGAGTGAGCCACCTTCCTGCCACCATGCATGAGAGGATTGACTCGACGCTGATCACGGCTTTCGTTGAGCGATGGCAGCCGGACACGAACTCTTTCCACCTTCCGTTCGGTGAGATGACGATCATGTTGCATGACGTCGAGGCCATCCTTGGGATTCCCGTAGAGGGAAACCGAGCATCTGTTGTCACAGATGCGGATCAGGCAGATTTATTGGCGGAGCTGTTGGCGGTGGATAGGGCTGCGCTGTACACAGCGGCACTTGGTGTGTGGGATCACGGCGGTGTTAAGATCGCAGCAGTTTTGCAGCGATGTTTGCACCCCACTTCACGTAGGACGCAGGACACACAGCTGGCTGCATATGTTTTTCTTCTTCTCGGGTGTACCTTGTTTCCGGATAAGAGCGGAAACAAGCTCAGGCCACGCGACATAGTTGACGCGTGTGAGCCCGACAGAGTAGGCCAGTTTTCTTGGGGGTCGGCTACATTAGCGTACATGTATCGCCAGTTAGGATTCTCGAGCCGGGCTGATGCGGCAGGTATCACTGGATGTATGACGTTGTTACAGACGTGGATATACGAGTATTTCCCGGCGTTTCGACCACACCGCGACCCGGTTCCTATTGGGGATGGCCAGCCACGTGCCTGTGCGTGGAGTCCGCGTGTCGAGAAGAAGTCCATTGACCGCCTGCGATCGATACGGTTATTGCTTGACAGGATGTCCCCATTAGAGGTAAAGTGTTTAAATTATTTCTACTTTTATAGTTTGATGTGTTTATTGTATGAATCTTACTAATTTTAAAAAATGTGCAGGTGAACTGGATGCCTTTCGGCCAGAACCCTAGTAATAGGGTACCCAGGACCCTCTACACGGGACTGATTCAGTATCGTGAGATCGTAGAGGCGTACATGCCTGGTGTAGAAGCTGCTGTATAGGGTTCCTTCCCTCTGACCGTTCAAACCTCAATTTATGTCTGACGTTGTAGATGTGTCTTCGGTTTGGCTGGTCTTCAGGAAATTTCTCCAACACAGATGCTAATATTTTAGCAGGCTTCACTTGAGCATCACTCATTTCTTTTACAATTAGTTTCGCAGCAGGACTTAGGCCACTTAACTGTCGATGACCCACTTCATATGCGATCATCTCATGGTTGTGATACCCCCATTTACCGTAACTCTTCACTTCCCAACCGTCACCCCTTTGCTGTTGTCGAACCTTTACTCTGAACTGACACCCACAACCTTTCCGCTTTGTATCAAACCGAATCGCTTGACTGAAATCTCGTTCCTCCCTTTTGCGATAACGGTCGCATCTCAAAATGCGATCCATTCTACCATCCCGTTGAGATTTATGAGTTGCTACTACTAAACAAAAACCTGATCTAATTGCAACCTGTTTCGCCCAATCAACCGCTTGTTGAGCATCTTCGAACAGACCATCGTGTACAAAAATCCCACTATAATCATTTCCGTCTCCACCATAATCCTGCAACAATAACATATAAATATAATCACATAAGAGTAGATTAAATTAATACATTTGACACAACATTAGCACAAAAGCAAAAAACAATAATAAATTATAAACAACAAACAAAGAAATAAACAAAAAGTATTCAAAAAAAAAAAAAAAACAAAACACAAAAATAAAAAACATAAACAAAACTTTAGATTAAATAAATAAAAATAAACCAAAAAAAAAAAAACAAAAAAAAAACATAAAACGAAAAAAATTGTACAAAAAAAATAAAAAATAAATAAATTAAAAACAAAAACAAATTAAAACAATTAAAAACAAAACAAAAAAAAAAACAAAAAAAAAAGAAAAAAATTGTAACACAAAAAAAAAAAAATAAACAAATTTTAAATTAAATTAAAAAAAAAAAAAAAAATAGTGGTGGCGCCTAGCCAGGACGCCGCCACCGTGGCGGTGGCGTCTAGCCAGGACGCCGCCACCGTGGCGGTGGCGCCTGGCCAGGACGCCGCCACCGTGGCGGCGGCGTCTTGGCCAGACGCCACGGCCACGGTGGCGGCGTCCTGGCCAGGCGCCAGAGTTACGGTGGCGGCGTCCTGGCTAGGCGCCACCACTACGGTCACGGCGTCCCGGCAGGACGCCAGCCGCCAATTCGTGGTTTTAGATGGCTTCGTACCTCCTTTTCCGGCGTCAACGGCGTCTCTCCGGTGCATCTACCCGACGTTGAGGGCTCTTCGGTTTCACTCGGCGATCCAGTCCTGCTCCACATTTTTTATGAGTGAAAAATTTTATTTTCGGTAAAAATTAAAACAAGGGCAATAATGTCAACATTTTTAAAAAATGTGGGCTTTATGTAGAAAAACGCGGGCGATGTTTAACAAATCCCAAAATCCGGATCGGATATCGGATCCGAAATCAAGTTCGGATCAAATATCAATAATTTTTGGATTGGATACGAATCGGATTATCGGATTTTTCGGATCTTCAAATAGTTTTGCTCAGCCCTACGTACCATGCCATCCTATTTGAATTGTTTCAAAATTAATATGCCCTATTAGTTTATACATTCCGTGTAAGTTCTACATAGTATGTGATTATCTATTATTCTAGTACTGTTAAGCTTTGTTAAGTTGATTATAGCTTTATAGGCTATAAAATTTCTTTCTAATCGGTTTGTTCTTCTCACTAATGCTATAGCCTATAGGTGCAAAAAGTTATTGAAATTATAATTTACCTTCTCAAAAATATTTATTCTTTATGATGAGTTTGGTTATTGAGGGCTAATACGTACATTTAAATACGTTAATTCTAAAGGCTTGTAAATTAGACAAGTTTGATCAAGCTAATGTACCGTAGTTAAATAAATTTTAACCAAATATAACACACCATAATATCATATGTTACCATAATTAATCATATGACAAAAACACCCAAATTTTATTAAAGATAAAACCAAAAATACTTAGGAGGTAAGGCATGGCATATCAACTTGGAACTTCTCTCTTGTCGACTAAAATTAGTTTCATTTCAAGATCTTAATAACGAAGAAAAAACATAGAAAACCGAGTAAGTGTACTTTTGACTAAATTACCCTTTGACAATAAACACTTCTTTCCCTCGTTCCTTCCAACCCACAAATTAAAGGGCCCCACCTCAAAAATAGGGGGGAAAATTAGTTCATATAATCAATCCAACCTTCCATTTTTCAATTCTACCCTCACATCCCCTTCAACAACACCAAGTAAAACAACCAAAAACACAATGGAATTTTTCAAGAAAGCCAAAGTGGTTCGTCTCCGTAGCCAACACAACAAGTACTTGACGGCCTCCGAAGACGAAGAGGCCGTCAAGCAAAGCCGCAGCGGCTCCTCAAAGAACGCGCGTTGGACGGTAGAGCCAATCGAAGGAAAACCAAATGTAATACGTTTAAAAAATTGTAATAGTTGGAAATACTTAACCGCATCCGAGGACTACAATCATCTCCTAGGCTCCGACTCGACTCAACCGTCGAGTGGGAGCCTATCAAGGAAGGTTCCGTTGTGAAGCTAAGAACTCGCAATGGAAACTTCCTTAGAGGTAACGGAGGGGTACCTCCATGGAATAATTCCGTAACACATGATGTTCCTTCTAGAAGTGCTACTCAAGATTGGATTTTTTGGACCGTTGATGTTGTTGAGGTTGACTATAAATCAATGGACGAGGTTGAAGATAAAAAGGGTGTACTTGAAGATTCCGTAGGGTGCAATGTAGAGGATCATGGCTCTTTGTCAAGGAATTCTTCTTATGCTTCAACAACAATAATGGAGGAAGTGGCTAATGACTGTCATGAGGTTGGATCTCCTGTGGCAAGTTCTACACCTAAGTCTGCTAGATCTGTTCGTTCTAATTCTAAGGTTAGTGGGTCCAAAAAATCATTTGTTTATTATTAATTTTATTTTCAATGGAAAATCATGTGTGCATTACCTCTAATTAGTGAAGTTAATTACATACAAATAAGATATTACAATGTTGACTTTGTAGGTATATTTTGAGAGTGACATAATTAAAGAGAATTAGTTTAGCCCTATGACATTATTCTATTGTACAATATAGTATATCATCAATTTAGACAAAACAATACTGAAAATGTCATAATATACTAAGCATAATCTTTAGCATGGAACAAGAAGAGTATCAAGGGATTATTGTTATTATACTTTGTAACACTTTTCAATTGGGTCTTTTGGGAACATTAAATTATGGGCATATATTTTTTTCACTCTACATGCTCTTTGTTCAAAATCCAAATTGACCCCCTACAAAACCATACAAGCCCGTAATCTTTTAATACATGTATACTTTTACGGCGGAGTAACATTTTTATCATACTATGAGCCTATAATGATATACATATTCAATCTATCCGTGCTATAATATATATCAACTTATATAATTGAATAAGTTCTCTCAATATATAATGAAAATAAAAGCAAAATATATTAGGAAGTATATATATGTTTGCATTATATTGTGCCAAGTTTTACAAGTGTTTAATACTTAGTATGTTGTTTCTTCCAAGACTTAGATTAGATTAGGTAAGAAGACCGAAAATTGAGTCTTTCTAGCAAGAAGAAACTAGTACGTTTGGTCTGAAAGGTAGTTAAGAATAATGATAGGTGTAAATAAACAAAGCATAAGATGTAGTGGACTAATTAAGCTCTAGTTATTATGGTCTTTAATCTTACTCACACCTAATTATTACTCCCCCGTCTCTAATTTTTTATTTTTTTTATTTTTTTTATTTTGATTTATTTTACAAGACGATCACTATTCAAACACGAAATAAATTTGCTGATTAAGGAATTAGATTACATAGTATTAAATTAGAACTTGTCAAACTTACAATAAGAAATAGATCAAAACATAAAATAAAAGCAACTAATTTTATATATGTGGGGCTCACTAGCTTATTATTGTTCCTAATTGTTATCAATTGAAAATATCTCATGATGAATTATTCTTAATGGGATGTTTTGATGAATTGACAAATGGGTGACTTGGTCAAATTAAGTTTTCTTTAGGTGCATGTACTAAATAGTGGTTGGTAAGTGGGAAGCTACTAATTAAAGTACGACAAGAACATGATGTAAACCAAATTTGGATAATAATGTGACATAATAGTTGCTAGCTAGTTTCGGATTGAACTTGTTTATGTCATTATTTTGGATGTTGGAAGAGTTTTATCTTTCAAGGCAGCTAATACAAATGACCATTAAATAACCACGAGAGCTTGATCTAGTGGTAGATGCTCTACCTTGCGACCTTAACAACACGCGTTTCATTTCTTAGTCGAGGTTCTTGGGGGTGGAGATTGACCTTTTCTTCTAAGCGTTAGCAGATAAACTTAGATTGAGTTGATGAATGAAGGACTCGATTTTTTAGGGTCCGTCATTACTATCCCTCAAACAATAACGGAATCTGAACACGTCATTATAAACGCTAAAGCTTATTAATTGATGAAACTGGCTCAAGCCACTAAGCATTTCTTTACTCCCCTGCAAGGCTGCATCAATGTACCACTGATTCACTGTCATAAACCACCATAATTTTGCCTTTTCGGCTAATGTAATAACCTAAAGTTTTTGAACACTGATTATTGAGTTTAATTTTGCATATGCTAACAGGTTTCTGCAACTCCAAGTCCAAGGACAAGTCCTACAGCATCAGATACATCCACCCGAGTTTCGCCCCATGTTCAAAACATACGCAATGAGTCCAAGGTACTTAAAATACTTTTCTTGTTAGTAGTCTTACCTAGCATTACTACTACTCTGTCTCAATTCAAATAACTCAACAAGCAACTTATCCTGTCATTTTTTTTTGTTGGTGTTGTGTACAGCATTCCGGTTCTTTCAACAAGCTCAAATCCATGTTAGATGGCCTACAAGACTTACTCGATGGCACGGAAGAAGAAGACGATACAAAAACAGATGCTGATTCAGAGACTTCAGTAGAATATCCCTCTAATCACCACCCTCACCAACTAGAAGTTAAGATGGCAAAACAAACTCTTAAAGAGTTGAACAACATGGATTTTGAAACTGTGTTATCTTCTGGGAGAGACATGAAAATGGATAAGTCCATCAGTATCCTTATTGCTGATGCAAAAGTGTCATACCGCGATCAAACCATCCTTAAGGACCTCACCAACCTCCGAGATAAGCTCAAGTCCATGAGAAATGACCGTGAATTAGCCTGCCAAGAATTGAATGAGTACACAAGATTCTGCACTAGGAGATTAGAGGTCAAGGCCGAACTCAAGAAAGATGCTGCTAAGGCTCACGAGTTGGAGACCATAGAAGATGGCTTTAGCAAAATGCTTGCGACAGCAAGAGCCAAGAGGGAAAGCATATTGAAGCAACTCGAGGAAGTTGACAGTCGAATCAAGGCTGCAGAAAAAACTCAGGCTGATAAAGCGGTGGATATTGAAGAACTTATTTCAAGAATAGGGGAAAAGAGTCAAAGCCTTAGGGAGATGGAAAGGAATGAGAAATCATGGCAAGCGAAGAAAGTTGAAGCCGAAAATAAGTTGGAGAGTGTAGAGGTAGAATGGGAAAAAATGAAGAGTTTGCTCCAAGATGTTTGATTGTGCCTTTCATTTGGTGCCAAATTATGCGAAAGATTAAAGTGATATCATTACATATGCAATTTTGTCAAACCATGTATTATAATTTTTTGTACTAAGATAAAAAATAGTCAGTAACATACATTTCCTACCTCATCAATTTGTCTATATTATAAAAAAAGATCATGATTGCGATGAATACAGCCATTACATTAGTGGCACGATCCTAGGAGGATATTATGCCATCAGTATCTTTATCTTCATGAAATACAGCATTAGTTACATAATTAGCCAACATCCAACAATTTTAATATTGTATTAAGGCTTATAAAATTCAGTCTGTACAATCAGAGAAGTCATAATCATGCTTGCTTCAAACAAATTTATTTGTACATGATGGTTATGACAACCCTACCATGCTAGAAAAGTTAAGTAGTTTAGTACTACCTACTACTCCGTATGTAGTTACCATTCGTTAGCTACTGTAATTCTATTATGGCACATAGGTAACCACAATAGTTGATGATGTGTATAGAATTTGATCTCAGGTCTTGGGTGCTACCTATCTAGACTTTAACCAGCTAAGCTGCTCGGCATCCAATGGCAAAATTGAAAAGTTTCACCTTTTGACAAAGTTTGGTTTTCCACAAAAACATTGCAATCTGATGCAGCACAGAAATAATCTAGAATAATTAATTATATCAGAAATAGTCCTCAATTTTGACAATATGATCAACCAAAGCACCACGGTCGTTTTCATGTATAGAACTTTCCCATAAATTTCCTCCTTTTTCCTTCTATACTAAGTCTAAAAGCCATGATCAACACAAAAGACCTATTCCCTTACCCCTTGTGCACCATTCTGAAAAAATGGAGTTCTTCCAAAGAGCAAAGGTCTTCCGGCTAAAAACCAGCAACCAGAGCAAGTACCTGATAGCCGATCAAGATGAAGATACAGTCAAGCAAACCCGCGACAGCTCCTCAACATACACACGTTGGTCATTCGAGCTTGTTGAGGGAAAGACTAATGTCATCCGCATCAGGAGCTGCAACAGCTGGAAATACTTAGCCGCGTCTGAAGAACCTTTCCTGCTTGGAATGACAGGAAAGCGAGTTGCACAGAGACCTTGGCTCGGTGCCACAGTCGAATGGGAGCCGATCAAAGAAGGGCCTTACATCAAACTCAGAAGTCATACCGGAACTTTCTTAAGGTCAAACAAAGGACTTCCTCCTTGGAGAAACACCATTACTCATGATCTGCCTGGTCATTGGACAGCCTCTGAGAACATGATCCTGTGGATTGTTGATATCGTCGAAATCGATCATAAGTCAACTAATGGTGATTCAAAATCCTTTAAGGGAAATGCTGTTCCTTCTCGGTTAAGTAATGCAGTGGATCATAAATCTTTTTCAAGCTGCTCTACTTTGTCAATTGAGGATGATGGCCCGTCTACGAATTCGGCTTCCTCATTAGAGGTATGTTCAAAGACCAAAAACTCTGTTTCTTCCTATAATTTTTGTTCTGCTATTTTCCTTTCATTTCTTTGAAATCATCAGAAACATCTAACGAAGCTAAAATGCTACCAGCTTATATAAAAACTGATCTAGTAAAACATAAAAAGGCCTAAAATTTATATTATCAGAATTTTATTTTACCACATTGATGTCTTAGGGCTGGACCCTTGGTGTTTTCTTGTTTTCTGATTTGGATCAATGCTTATACCAATTTAGAATACTCATATTTTTTTTTGGCCTTTTTTGGGTTTTGGGTTTATGTTATGTTCCTAAACTCAGCATTCGATCTCCTTCAGCAACTTAAGGTCTATGTTAGATGGCCTAGACGATAAAGTTTATGTTGTAACAGAACGAACAACATCAGATACAGGACGCGTTCTCAAATCAGAAATTCATATGGCTAAGCAATCTCTCAAAGAACTGACGGACATGGATTATCATGGCATCTTATCTTTAGGACTATACAAAGAGCTAGAAAAGGCAATAAGTAAACTTTCTGCTGATAATAAAACATCGCGGCAAGAAACTCTACAAGAGCAACTTAAGACGATGAAAAATGACCATAACTTAGCCACTCAGGATTTAGTTGATTATGCTACATTTGACAGTAAAATATTGGAGATCAAGGCCGAGGTTGATAAGGATGTGGCCAAGGCTTGTGTGTTAGAGGCCACCCTTGACAAATGGTTCAGCGACGAGTATGTAAATCCAAGAGCTAACAAAGAGGAGTTGTTGATGGAATTAGAAGAAACAGAAAGCAGCATCAAGGCTGTGGAAGTGCTCAGATCACGAATAGCGAAGAAAAATGAGAGACTAGAGGAGATGGAAGCAAAGGAGGAATCATGGCAAGCAAGGCAACTTGAAGCTGAAAGAAAATTAGAAAGAGTTGAGAAAGAATGGGTTAAGATTAAGAGCTTGTTTAAAGATGTTTAATTAATTTAGAGTATTCATTTGGCACTTTCTTGCTTTAATGATTAAATTAATTACAATTTGAATATATTGTAAGCATATAACTCTTGAAAAAATTTCTCTAAGATTACAGCATTAAGAGGCTCTGAGCTTACATATTAGAATCACCCACAGTAGCAGCTAATGAAATTATGAAATAACAAAACTGAATGTTTCTTCCCTATTTTCCTTTTCCCTCAGTAACAAGCACCTTATGATGCTCGTTGACAAAGACCACAAAGTCAACTTGACCAGATCCTTTCCTATGCTTTACCTCCCTTCTCTTCTAATTAGAGGTGTTGTTGTAGAACGCATGGTGTTTACAAATAGATTAAGTAATTGTGCCATGAGGAAAAAAGAGAGATGGAGGAATTATTACTCTCATAATGAGGGTAATAGTTACCCACCCTCCCCCTTGTGTAACTATTACCCTCAAAATGAGGGCATTAGTTCCTCTTTCTTCACCTCATACCACACCATCACTACGTAATTTTCCTTACAATCACACCATCACTATCTCCTCCTTCCCTATTTTCACTTCATTTTACTTAGTTTGACTTTTATTACCCTAGTAATACATCTCCCCAATCCAAACATGCCTTAGAGGGATCATCAATGAACATGATTTCTTCATCAGCTCTTTATTATTGTTTTTACTTGAATATGGAATCTTAAGTTTCCGGGGTGGTGTTTTCAATTGGAGACTACTAACAGGTCTTACACTGCTATATTTTTGGGATTATGTTGGTCTCAGCATTCTGCCAGAGTCAGCTCAATAAATGGTGCAAAATCAAGCATTGTGTCCGAGTACTCTGTCCAATCTGCCTTTGAAGATGTCCAAACATTGGAAGTTAAGAGGGCTAAGCAAACCTTTGAGCAATTGAAGAATGCAGAATTTTGTACCATCTTGTCTTTGGGACAGGACAAGAAGCTTGAAAAGGCAGTTGATGTGCTCATTGCTGATGCAAAATCCATAGGCCGAGGTAAAATCCCTAGTAAACTTGTCAATATTCAAGAGCAACTCAAGTCTATGAAGAATGACCATGAATTGGCCTCTCAAATTTTGGTCGAGCATTCAACATTTTCTACAAAAAGATTAGAGATCAGGGATGAGCTAAAGAAGGATGCAGCTAAGGCTCGCGAGCTACAGGATTTGGAGGTCAATGTCAACAACACAATTGTAGATGCAAGAGCCAAAAGAGAGGAGTTGTTGAAGCAACTCGAGGAGACTGAAAATGCCATCAAGAAAGTTGAGAAAGCACGGTCTGACAGTATGGTAGAAGTTGAAGAGCTAATATCGAGAATAGAACAGAAAAGCGAGGGGCTTAAGGAAATGGAAAGCAAGGAGAAATCATGGCGAGTAAGGAAAAACGAGGCTGAGAGATTGCTGGAAAGAGTTGAGAAAGATTGGGGAAAGGTTAAAAATTCGTTTTCTGATGTCTGATAAAATGTAACTTCTGCACCAGTCGGCCTAGCTATATTCATAGACAATTTTGCACCTGTTTGGAAATATTACAGTTGATTATGCTATACATTTTGATATCAATCTGCATTCTCTCATTTTCTACATGAAAATCAAAAGATAATTCCCACTGGTTTTTTTTTTTTTTTTTTTAACTTCCATACGCTGTAGTTAATATGCTTGCTAAGTACAGTTTAATTCGACAAGAATAAACTGTAAAGCCCCGTTCACTTCACCTTAATTTTGCTGAACTGAAATTATTTTTACTTGTTTTCTATTATAATTCTTTTTCAGAGTTACTGTTTTTTTACTGAACTTATATTAATTTTACTGAACTTAAATGAATTTTATTGAACTGAAATTATTTTTACTGAATACTTCCTCTATTCCACAAATATTGCAACAAGGATGAAATTATGCATCCCAAAACACATTTTATATGCTAAATATCTTATATAAGTGTAAAAATTATAAAAAGTTGATATTGTGAAAGTATTTCACGAGACGAATCTAACAAGACCACACATGACTATATTTCACTTTACGTATAAATCATAATATGTAGTCAAACAAACGTGATGAATAGTGTAAAAGTCTAGTTGTTGCAATACTACTAGAACGGAGGAAGTATTATTTTTTAAAGGTGAACTGAACATTCCATTACAATCCTTGCCAATTCTAATCTGCATATCTGAAGCCAGAGAATAATCCAGTTGATCCTAACGTAACTTTATGTATTTATAGAAATTAAATGTTTAACCGTGTCAGCTTACAATTATTATGTTTAATTATTACAACTGTATCATTAACCTGTACAGCTAATTAAACGCGTACATTAGATAAAATGTTTAATCTTGCTTATTTGGAATAAGATCCATTATCAATCCAAGATTGTTTAACTATAAAAAGGGAAGAAAAAGTCTAAGGCTTTGAAAAGAAAAATACCTTTTTTATTCATCAAAAACGTGTGTGGTACTCCATAATCTGAACAAATTATATATTCACGCGTTAATAATTGTTGTAATGTTTGCTGACAAATTGTCCAATTTGACAAAGTCAGTCTGACCAAATCTTTCCTGATGTTTCTTCCTCTCTTCTCCAAATCATAGCTCAAAATAATGAACAATAGAACACACCTTTCATGAAAAATGGATTTGTTACAGAGGGCAAAGGTGTTTCGGCTAAAATGCAGCCACCACAGCAAGTACTTGGTAGCCGATGAAGACGAGGAACAAGTCAGACAAAGCCGTGATAAGTCCTCGAGCAAAGCCCGTTGGGTTTATGAGCTTGTTGAAGGGAAGAAAAATGTGATCCGCATCAGAAGCGGCTGGAGCTACAGGTACTTAACCGCGTCTGACGACCCGTTTCTGCTAGGAATGACAGGAAAAAAGGTTTTACAGACAATCAGCCACGGTCCCATTATAGAGTGGGAGCCAATCAAAGAAGGGCCTTATATCAAACTGAAAAGCCATAAAGGGAGTTATCTAAGGGCTAACCCAAGGGTACCTCCCTGGAGGAATTCTGTAACCCATGATGAACCCGGAAATTGGGCTGTCACTGATAACATGATCCTGTGGATTGTCGATATTGTTGAGATCGATTATCAGTTTTCGGGAGTGGCTGATGATGGTTCTACTGAATTAATGGAGGACAATAGGGAAAGCAATGTTTCTTCCGTGTCGAGTGATATAGGAGATCATAAATCTATGGTGAGCTATTCTTCTTCTCTTCTTCTGTTTCAATGAAATACACAGTTTTCATAAACAGTCAGGATCAGAAACACATGATTATTTCTGTAAATTTCTTAATTCCCAGTATTATCTAACTAGTTTTCCCTCTATAATCTGATAGAGTAACCAAATGTGATATCATTATCGAAATGAGGGGCGGTTCAATTGAGCTATTTTTTCTCTACTGATCATGTAATCATGTTTTAAATGAAACTGATCATGTGTTCGTTTTCCTAAACACAGTATTCTGGCTTGGAAGATGAACTTAATGACACCAAAGGCACAGGAGCAACTTCAGCTAAATCTAACTCGGAACACATTCATCAAGTAGAAGTCGAAATGGCTAAGAAAACCCTCAAAGAGCTAAAAGATCTGGATTTCCATACCATCCTAACTTCACAAAGGGGAGAAAAGCTGGAAAAGGTCGTAAAGGTGCTTATTGCTGATGCAAAATCCCAAGGCAGAATCCCTGGTGACCTAATCAATTTACAAGGGCAACTTAAGGTGATGCAGAATGAACATGTTTCAGCCTCCAGAATTTGATCAAGTACAATAGTTTCTCTACTAGAAAATCGGAGATTATGGCTGAACTTAAGAGGATGCTGCTCAAGCTCGTGAGCTAGAGACACTTCAGGGCGAGTTACAAACTGCAAGAAATGCAAAAGAGGAATTGGTGAAGCAACTTGAAGAAGTTGAAAATATCATTACGGACTTGGAGAAAGCCCAAGCTGACAATTTGGCTGATGCTGAAGAGCTGATATCGAGAATGGGACAGAAAAGCCAGAAACTCGAGGAGATGAAAAACGAGGAAGGAGCTTGGCAAGTGAGGAGAACTGAGGCCAACAGAATGCTGGAAAGAGTTGAGGAAGATTGGGTGAAGATTAAAACAATGTTTCTTGCTGACTGACGGTTCATTTTGGCCTACGCGTCTGTGCAGAAGGCAGTAGGGACTAGGGACCAATGTTTTCATGCTTCTGATGATATTAGACCATTCTTTGTTCCGACTTCTACGTCATACCTTCAGTTGTACATATTGATAGCAAAGATAGTAGTACTTTCCATCATTGTTCATTCTATAATATTTTCCTATACAAGTTTGTCTTTAAATTCTACATTGTAATACCAATACAATCATGTTCACATTGAAGCATACAAACCAGACAATAAGACCGAATAAACATGGCTAACTTATAATTCGGTTAAAAAGACCGTAGTGCACAAATAGCCAACACAATATCGTAAGCAACTGGGCAAATTCTGATAATAGGAAATTGCTAATGCTATTTACCAGTACCAATACCATGCATGACTTTTCTAAATGATGTGGTTGACCTAATAAATTAGAGCTCATAGTCCTTAATCTTAACAATATTTGTTCACACGGTCTTGAAATGGTAGGGCTAGAAGACTAATCCACCAGTTTGCTTAATCAAGAGTACAAAGCTTCTCAACGAGCCAACTTTATTCCAAGTGACATTTATTTTTTAACAAATGAAAGTAAGCAAGAATCATTCCATTTTTTTGTTTTTCTAGTAACTGCTCCACCACTTAATTAACAAATCATAATATAAAAGAAGCCCATCAACATTCAGCTCCAAGTTGCTATGGAGTTTTTCATCAAAACAAAATTCATTAGGCTCAGAAGCCATCACAACAGGTACCTAGTAGCAGGGTCAGACGGTGAGTCAGTCAAGCAGAGCAAGCACGGGAACACTAAGCAGGCTTGTTGGATTGTCGAGGTAGTCCAAGCCAAGCCCAACACTATCCGCCTCCGGAGCTGCTATGACAAGTTCCTGACCGCCTCAGAGGAGCCCTTCCTGTTGGGCTGGACAGGAAAGAAGGCACTGCAGACCGTGCAGACTGACAGCAATCTGTCAGTACAATGGCAGCCCATAGGTGAAGATTTTTATGTCAAGCTACAAGCCCCAATAACGGGGAAGTTCCTCAGGGCCAACGCAGGGACTCCACCTTGGAGGAACACGGTGACAGTGGATGTACCCGAGAGGAAAGCCACACAGGATTGGGTTCAATGGGTTGTGGATATTCTAGATGATGATGCAGCAATTGGTAATATTGATCGATGTTATTGGCCAAGGAATTCCAAGACATTATCCCATACTAATAAGGCTATCGAATGTTATAAGACTTCTTATTCACTGGCTGAAAATGCAACTCAGTTTAACAGTTCTGTATCATCTTTTGAGGACGAAAGTGATCATTCACGACAGTCATCAGTTTCATCAGGCTCATCTACCTCTTCTGCTTCTGTTGTGGGTGCTTACAAGGTACGCTTTTGTTTCAAATCCACATATTTTGTCCATCTTTCATCTTTATTTGTTCATTCTACTATCAAAGGCTCAACAATAACCTGACCCAAAAGTCAATGACTAATTTTATAATTTTCCATGATAATTTTAATTATTCTATGATTCCAAACAGAGCCAGAACATATGAAAAGATACGGGTTCTCAAAAAAAAATAAAAAAAAAATTGAAAAGATACGAATATAATTGAATCTGAATCAAATTACACTTCATCCAGATAACATCTAAACAAAAGGTTGAGATTTTCGATCATGATACAGTAAAAATTTCGAAAGTAAAAAAGCTCGTTAATACTCGTACTCGAAAATTCAGAACAACAAATCCTAACTAAAACCACAGCTTCGGATTTTTTTTTTTTTTTTTTTCTGGCTAATTCCAGTTTAGGTGATCCAATAATTGACAATAATACGCGTTAACGTGTTGTCAACCAAGAAAAAAAAAAAAAAAAACTAAAAAACAGAAATTGCCAGCAAATGCATATGAAATTCCCTTTCAATTACGGCAAAGCAATCGTTACATCCACTTCTAACTGTCACTAAAAAGTAATAACCCCTTTGTCTAAAATCTACCCAACCAATTTTCTTTTGACCGTTAAAAAAACCAGATCATGTTCTCACATCCCAAATAATTCTTCTACTTAAAACCCAGAAATTGTATTCAATCCAAAAACAAAAAAAATACACACATTTCAATCAAAAAAAAAAAAAATCAAACTAGGATGAATTTTGCAGTCTATTCTATAAAATTAGATATAAAAATCCCAATTCACCTGATAAATTTGTTGTGCACGACTATATCTGTTGAATAATTCGAGGTTTATGCAGTCTTCTGACCGTTGAAACATCACATGATATTTTCACATCCAACAACCATAATCAAACCTCCAAATTTCAACTCAAGTTCCCAGAAAATTCTATTCAACCTGAAAAAAAAAAAAAAAAAAAAAAACCCATTTCAAGTCAATTTAAAAAATCCCAATTGAATCAAATTTTGCATTTTAAATCACAAATTACAAAAAACCCATTTCACCATCATCAGCTATCATTGAATAAAATTTGTGGTTGTTTATGCAATTAATCCTATAACAATAAATTTGGTGTTATTATGTTTTGATTCATTTTCACTATTGGTTGGAATAACAGAGTAGTACTGGAATGGAGCTATTCCAGAATGCAAAAACAGTCCGACTACGAAGCCACAACGACAAGTACTTGATCGCCGAAGACGACGGCGAGTCCGTCTGCCAAGACCGTCACGGGGGATCAAAGTACGCACGATGGACCGTCGAGTACGTAAAGTCCGTAGAAAGTGTTGATCTTGTAAGATTCAAAGGCTGTTACAATAAATATTTAACAGCAACAGACGACGAGTTTTTATTAGGTGTTACGGGTAAGAAGGTAAAACAAACGTTACCAAGGCGGCTCGATTCGTCTATCGAATGGGAGCCTATGAGAGATGGAATGCAGGTTAAGTTAAAGACAAGGTACGGTAATTTTTTAAGGGCCAATGGCGGTTACCGCCGTGGCGAAACTCGATAACGCATGATGTTCCTAGTAGGAGTCATACACAGGATTGGATATTGTGGGAGATTGAGGTTTTAGAGGTTTATGATGTTGTGCAAGAAGTGGTGAAAGAAGTTGAGGATGTTGATAGTAAGTTGGAGAGGTGTGAGTCTCAGTTTGATGCTTCTACTTTTGTCACTTCTTATTCTGGGGTAAGTCTAATTTTCTTTTGTTTCAACACTGAATTGTGTTTTTAACAAATTTTAGCATCCGAGTTATTATTAGGGGTGCTTACATTGGCGATTTTTTGATTCTTTTATCTACCGTTAAATGTTAGAGATATTAGGTCTGTTTTTGTAACATAAGGGTATGTGGCATGGTGGCACCAATTGATTTATTTATTTTATATATTGATGTAGAGAGAGCCGCAAAGGTAATGATGTAGAAGATTCGATCTTAGAACTTAGTTGACATCCACAAATTAAGCAACGAGTCTAAATACATTGCCATTACAAGTGGTGGGTGTTTTGGAATGATAAAAATTAAATAAGTTAAGTGATTAGGTTTGAATTAGAGTGAGTAGTGTATACTTAATTGAATTTCTCTTTAAATTACATGTCTTAATCATCATTTTGTTGAAAAGCAAACATTAATAAGAAAAAAATAGTGCATTCTATCATTACCTTTACCTCTAGTCAAATTGAAAATGGACAATGTAGAAATGGAGTCATTATCAAAAATAGGTGTGATGTGATCAATTCTATACTCATTGTGCATTTCTAATTGTTTCATGCTTTTGTAAAACTGTATACAATATTGGTTGAAATTACATATGTTATGACTTTTTTCCGTCCATTTGCAGCCTGGTGAATTTAGTACTTCCGGTGTGATAAATGAAGGCCGTGTTATACATTATAATGTTGTGGATGATGATGGAAACATTGTTGATGAAGTGGAGGGAGAACGTTCAGTAGAATTTAAAGGGAACGGAGTTCAGGAGCTCACTCAGATGTTAGAGGAAGAGACAGGGTTAACAGAGGTTACATTATGCTCGCGTAGTCCTTTGAATGGAAAGCTCTATCCAATGCGGCTGGCTCTTCCTCCTAATCATGTGAAATTGCACGTTTTTGTTGTACCATCATCTTCCAAAGGTTAGTTAATGGTTTTATACTATGTCATTTTCATCAGGTTTTGCATTTGTTACCTGTTAATGACTATTCTTGCAAAATTCTATGCTTGAATATGACAATGTGTTGATATTCCGCAAGTAGATTATAGTTACTAATGATAAAGGGTAGAGCTAATCAATAGTCCTTGGTGAATTTCATGTTTAACTGATGTTTTGCCAAGATCTCGTTTGGATCACCTCACAATTAATATGTTTAGAGTTTGCTTCTCGTAGATTTTCTTTAATGTTGTGCTGAGTGATTAGAAATTTGAGACTTTGGAGAATAAAATGATTAACAGGATTGTATGAGAGCAGTATTGAACAGAAAACGGACATACATATATATTTGAAAAATGGGGTTGCATTTAAGATCAAGATTATTATTCCTTATGTCATTATATGAAATAGCCTTACAGAGAGATCTGATAAGTACATCTTGAAGCTAATTGTTTTCAGTGCATAGTATATTTCCCCTATCCAGCTTTCATGTACAAGTTCTCCTATAGAATATTTTGGCTGACCGTGAAAAAAAAAAAAAAAAAAACACAAACAAACAAACTGACAATTGTGTATCATAAAACTAAAACAAATAAACTGACAAATGTGTATCATAAAACTTAAAATCGCGAATGCATTTTGATTCCAATCTTTTATTAGAGCATTGAGTTTCATCTCTACACATTCATAGTGTAATACCCCTCACGATCGCTTTAAAGGAACTTAATATACTACTCATATTAACAAGATGCATCTTTTTTTTAAGGAACCTTATATGGTAAGATACTTCTCAGTTAAGCATGCTTGGCTGGGAGTAGTCTTAGAATGGGTGACCTCTTAGGAAGTTTCCCAGGGTGCGCATAAGTGAGGACAAAATGCGCCGGAAGAACTTGTGTTGGTCTGTAAGGACAATTGTTGGTCCCAGATGCGCATTTCATGACAATAGGCCCCACCCTGATTTGGGGTCGGGGTGTTACACATAGTGGTTTACTCATTACGTCTAATTTGAGTCAAATTATTTCGTACGAATTATATGCAGAGCATTTGCTAGTACTCTGAGTACTCCTCCTCACTCAGCAAGCAAGCAAAGCTTGGTGGAGTTAGTGGGGAACTTAGCTTGTGACTTTGAGGTCAGAAGTTCGAGTCCCACTAACTACAAAATGCTTGGAAGTAGGGGGATACCTTACCTCCCCCATACTCTCAAGCATTGACTTGCAGAGTTGTGCTGGCTAAAACCTCCTGTGAGAGGTGCCGGTTTAGTCTCCTCCTCGACAACCACCCCCCCCCCCTTTTTACAGCTCATTGTCTTAATCACAGCCTTTGTGCTGTTGTAGGGAGAGTGCCTTCCTAGCTCTACAGCAACACGACTTCAGTGGCTTTTCTTGTTCGTTTTAACTCTTTCATTCATCAAACCTTGCTTTTGAATTGTGTTTGATTTCTTTTTCAGCTTGTAGAATTGTGAAGAACTGGTTGGTTTATCATTTTGTTTATTTGCTTATCGTCTTAATTAAATACCATTGGTATTAAGTATGATTGAAAATTTTCTGTAATGTGTTGCTGGAATTTGGCTGTCCTGGAGTGTCGGCGCGCTAGGTGCTTCCTTCCTTTTCCTCTTTTATTGTACTTGACTTAAACCAAAATGCTAACCTTAACAAAAATAATGAATCCATTTTGGCTTCCATGTCTAAAATGAAGCAATTAACTCATGTATCACATTGCATCAAAATTCAAAAATATACCAAAGGACTAAAGACATTGATGTTGGTTTCAATTTTCAGCTTCAGCAGATTTCGACTTGAGTTGAGTGGCCTGGCAATTCAGTAATCAACTTTACCCTGTCAATATGTGTCTGAGTTCAGCGTATGCAGCCGCGGTTAAAGAACAGGATGATTATTTGTACATAGCTCAAAATATAATGGAACTAGCCTTTTGGTCTACCAAGATCAAGTTCTTGGGAGCTTAATGGAATTTACGTTGGAAGGCAGCTTGTTTTGCATTTCTTCAACTCAATGGTCGTGACTTCAAAGTACGATGTATAATTGAATGTTTTGCCTTTGATGCATGAGAGATAAGTGCGTCACAAATTTGGATTCTAAACTAGTTAATGTACCTCAAACCATGCATTATAAACGAACTATGATCATGTTTTACCATAATCACTGTACTTAATTTTGTAGCCGGTGTTTGTCACTTAATACTAGTGTATAATTGTACTAGTATAATACGAAGTACTAATAAAGCAAAGCTTGGTATAGTTAATTCCAAATTCACCTTTTTTTTAATAGTAAAAAAATTCATTAATAAAAAGTCATACGACATCTACAATAGAGATTCGACTTTAACAAATACATAAGATATTGAATCGACTTTAACAAACCATGCTCAGGTCCACCATGAGCATGGTACACCCTGGTGTACAATGTAAATTTCATAATTCTGACGGAATGGTTCCGATGGACACGTAAATCCGTCAGAATATTTGTTCTTTCCGACGAGATATTCCGTCGGAAATTTCCGAAGGAAATTCCGTCGGAATATTTATTAAAACAAAAAAATCTAAACCTAACCCTAACCCTTTCCGCCCCTTCTCTTTTTCTCTCCACTTCTCTTTCCCCCTTTTCTCTTTCCCCTTCTCTTTCTCTCTCCTCTTCTCTTTCCCCCTGTTCTCTTCGATCTCCTCCTCTTCTCCTCTTCTTTCTCCTTCTTTCCCTTTTTCTGTTCTCTTCGATCTCCTCCTCATCTTCTCCTCTTCTATGTTTCTCTTCTTTCAGTCCCCTCTTTATTCTCACAACGCTTGATCGTCCACCGCCATCATCAACAACACGCCCACCGCCAACATCGTTTTTAAGGTTTTTAAGGTCAAATTCACCCATGACAAGTCTATAGATCTAGAGTTTTCATGGTCGAATTTGGCCTATTTAGCCATATTTGAGGTGAAATTCGAAGCCATTGCCGATTTTTAAGGTATTTGTTCGATTTTTAAGGTATGTTTTCAATTTTTATTTTAATTTTCTTTAATTTTATTTTATTCGATATGGATCTGGTGGTTTGGGTTAGATGGTGGTTTCGTGGTGGGTTAGGGTTGTAGATCTGGGTTTTGTTTGTTGTAGAAATTAATATTTTGTTTTGGTTTTTTTTATTTTTTATTTTTTATTTTTTTTTAATTTTTAGGTTATGGTGGTGGTCGTGAGTTGTGTCGAAGAGGAGAGTGAAAGAGTGGGTTTAGGTGGGTGGTCGTGGTGTGGGGTTGGGGTTGGTGGTGGTCGTGGGTGTCGAGGTCTGGTCGGGTGGTTTGCGTGGGTTGTGTGGCTG